GACTTAGAAAATTGTTAAGTTTTTTAATAAGTTAAATTGGTGACTATAGTGTTGGAATTAAATTTAAAACAAAACTAATTAGACTTAGAAAGTTCTTAAGTTCTTTAAATTAGCTAAAATGATTTAGTTGGTTAATATAGGGTTGGAATTAAGTTAAAACAATACTAATTAGACTTCAAAAGGTTTTAAGTTGTCTTATAAGTTAAATTAATGATTAAAGTCTTGAAATTATGTTAAAGCTAAACTAATTAGACATAGAAATTTCTTAAGTTTATCAAATTAGTTAATATAATTTAGTTGGTTAATATAGTATTGATATTAAATTAAAACTATACTAATTAGACTTAGAAAGGTTTTTAATTCTCTAAGAAGTTAAATTGATGAATAAAGTGTTGGGGTTAAGCTAAAATTAAAGTAATTAGACATAAAAAGTTATTAAGTTGTTTTATAAGTTAAATTGCTGACTATAATATTGGAATTAAGTTAAAACTAAACTAATTATGTGTAACGACCGAAAACGAGTCATGAGTATCACCCACACTTAACTTCCTAGAACAGCGAACCAACAAATCTAAACCCAACATATATCAATAGTTCAACTATATATAATATAAATAACGCGGAAGCTCCAAAAGATACTAAGCAACTAATTTAAATAAGTTTCTAAAGTTTAATTTTTATCATCAAAAAATTTGATAGCCATCAGGTCAAGGACACCTATTTTCAAATTACCAAGTCTAAGAGTGTTTAAGAAATCAAAATAAGCAAAAAGATGGTCCATGTCCCAAATCCAAAGACATCAAGACGTGAATGAGTGAATCCATCTCGAGCTAGAATTAATAGCTCACCCTGAACTTTAATGTGCTGGAGACTGGCTAGAGCTGAGGGCGAGTTGAAGTCCATGGTACACTTGCTACACTCCAGAAAAAAAAAGAGAAAAAAATTCAAGTAGGGGTCAGTACAATGAACACATACTGAGTCGGTATCATCGGCCAACTCAAAATAGAGATAAATATATATTGAATAATAATATAAAATCAACTACAATACTTAAAAGGTGGCAAGGAACAAATACATGAACCATTGACAACAACACCATAATAGGTACACCATCACTCAAAACATCAAACACCCTTATGACGACTCATGCCTCCACACCATACTCATTTGGAAAATTGGTTCTTTGAGATTAAGTATATTAAGTTACTTCAAGATTCCTTTTCTTCAATGTTATTGTGTCGGAACGTGAAACTCTGATCCCACATATCGTGGCATAACGTGACACTCCGATCCAATTATCACATTATTTAATTTCCTCAAGCCTTATTTATTCAAGGCGTCATTTTAATTGAGAGGGTTCAAGATTAGAAATTCAACAATCTCATAATATTAGGCCAACCACAAACTGTAACGACCCGCTAGGTCGTTTTGAGAACTAGGACTAGTTTGACTCCTTTTAAAAATTTAATGGGGTATTTTTAAACTATTGGAAACTAAGAATATTTAGTTGATAAAAATTTTACTAAATAATTAATATAGATAATAGGTTAGTGGAGTTTCACGGTTAATAATTTCTTATTTAGAACAAAAAGAATACGAAAAGTAGTGGAGGCGAAACCTTACATCAGGCGACCAGCGAGAGGGAAAAAATCGTAGCCATTGTTCAGGTAAACATATGAGAATTCGTTCTTTTCAAGTATATATATAGTAATATATTGTCGGAATACTTGGGATTGTGTTATTATTTTATGTTATATTGATAATGGGTGATAAGAAATAATGGGTAAGTTGGTGATGGTTACTAAATTATATTATATTGCTAGCAATTGGGTTAGTATTTGTTAAAAAAAAAGGAAATCGATCGAAGTCGAATAGTTGAATGGTTGCAGGTTAATGTTTTTTGGGATTTTGTAAAAAAAAATTATTCTATATTTTGTTAGTTTCAGAATGGTAGGAATAAGATTGAGCTAATAATTGGACAATCATTGTCAATGATTGTCAATGATTGGAATTTGATAAATATTTCAGGAAATTGGCACTTGTTTACAGATGGATTTCTGCAAAAAAAAATTAATAATAATAGATTTTTAATTTGGAAATTTAATGGAAGAAGTTTTTTTTATGTTTGAATTATTAGAGTGGTGGGAGATATTGTTCATATTTTATTCATATATTAAAATGCTTGTTTTTAATATATATAGAAAGGTAATTAATTATTGGGTATATATTATATAGTTTAAGATTAAATTCTAGGGTATTTAAGTGATTAAGGTTAAATTCTAGGCTTAAAATTCGATAAATATGATAAATTTTGGAATATAAATTATATCAAAATTTGGGGTTTGATTAGAGATATGAGTGAGTTTTAGGGTATATGATATACTTATAATAATTTGAATGTACACAAACTCGCTCAGCTACGAATATTGCATTGTCGTTAGATCGTGAGCATTCCGAAACTTTGCGAAAAGGGAAGGAACTATCTTGAAGATTCATGGCACGAGGTTCGTCTCTTAAGGTATGTTAAGACTTTTAGACTTGTTGAAGGACGTTTTCCTAAGTAAAGATAAAAAAATGAAATAGAAAAAGGGGTAAGGGAGAAAGATGGGGGTCTCGTGTCAATGGTGTTACGGGCACTAGTACGAGTACCGGTGTTATAAAAAGGAAATTTACTACTATATCATGTGGATTGTAATTTGAGAATGCCAAAGCATAAGGCATTAAGTGATATATTATTGACTTGAAATCCTTGTGTGATTGTGTTTTTTTATTACACTCATATTGTTGTGATAATCGAGGTGGTTATGTAGTATGTTGATGTTTGACTGATTCATGTGCATCATCATCCCCTTTATTGATATAATATTATGCAAATGCATTGACATGAGATGGAATATAAGTTGGAAAGTACTTGATGTTTGATTAACTTTATTGATGTAACTTAAATAGTGATTACCTTATTTCCTCCAATTAAAAAAATATGAAAGATACATATAGATTTTCCACCCTTTTTCAGCCAATTGGCAAGTTTTACTTTTCCAAAATAAAATCCTATTTTCAAGCTACCCACTTCCCCATTAACAACCCCAATTAAAAGTTATCATATTAAATTTTATTCCTTAAATATTTCCCCGTGTTTTAGGAGCAAAATTTTCTCTCACCACACGTCTTTGGAGCAGAATTTACCCTCAATTTGAATTCTAGTAGGATTTTGCAGCCATATTAATTTGATTTACTGTAGGAGTCTCCATCAAGTATTTAAATTCTAAGTTTTTAAAGAGTAAAAATTTTAGTTTCCTTTTTTCTCTTCATCGTGTTATTTTACAAACAATATGGAAGTGGGTAGTTCTGGAGATGGTGGTTTCTAATACTATTGCTAAACGTGTGTATGATTCTGATGATGAAATGTGGGCTGAGAACACATCCAAGAGATTGCATGACCCATTATCCAGGAATAACAAGAATTTAGTTGAGCCAAAGAAAAAGACTTAAGAAATCCATAAAAAGGCCAAGAAAAGTTACACATGTTGTGTCCTGACCCACACTTCCTAAGGTATGTGTTTAAAATTTATAATTTTGTGTTTTGTTGATAAAACCCTAATTTTAAATTGTTGCATGTGTTTGTAAAATGAAATTAAAAGTCATTTATCAATGAAGAGTGATTCACTAACTTCAAATTAAGTATAACCATCATGTTTGTACAGTTTTAAGGTGTATTAAATGCATTCTGTTTATCACTAATTTTGAGTTTTGTATTAGTAAAATCATGTGTTTTATAGTATTAAGGTGTATCAATAATTTTGTGTTGTGTATTAGTGAAAGCACAATTTTTGTATAGTTTTAAGGTGTTTCAGTAAATTTGTGTTATGTATTAGTAAAAGCATAATGTGTTCTTCAGTTTTAAGGTGTATCATATGTCAATATATTTGTGTTTTGTATTTAGTAAAATCAGCAAGTGTTGTAC